TTTAATAATTGTATGATTTGCAATCTAGGTATAATAACATCTACGAGTATCCAGGTTGGGCACTTGCTGCTGGTTGGAGTTTAGCCCTCTGTTCAATGGTTATCGTTCCCGTCTATTGTATATACATTTGGTTTTCCACTCCATATTCTCCAGATGTAAGCGGATATTAAAAATTGATCTAAAATTTACTTTTATTTACTTTTTTAATCTAAAAACTCAGAAATTTAAGAAACTTTTTGGGTCGTCTCAAACTCCTTTTTACGACAAACCGGAGACCAATGATCACAGGATAGCAAACATATCGGAAAATTCACTATAACCGGGAATATCACTGATTATCTGTCAATCATACCGTGTAATCGTCTCTTAATATTACATTATTATTATATATTCATTCAGTTTTTACGATAACCATTACCTGCGCTATACTAAGCAACTCTCATAATGTGTTTTTCTATTATTACATATGAACTCAGAGTAAATATTATAATAATATATGAAAAATATTGTTTAAACATTATTATTGAAAATGAATATGTTTGGCAAAAAAGTGCATATTTTTCTCTTTCTTATGCGCGAAATGCGGTGAAGAAAAAGTTGATCTGCAAGTTATCATTGAATTTTGAATTTCACAGCGAAATAAAGTTTTCCTTCAAATTATTTATTGATTTCTTATATAAAAAATAATAAAATAGAAGAAGAAAAACATAGTTTTCTCTCGTTTTTATACATAAAGTAAAAGTTAATCACAAATCAAAAATCGGAAAAACTATTGTGTTTTGCAAAATGCAATCCGAGAGTAGAAAGCATTTAATTTATTTAAATTTATCAGTTGTTTGGAAATATAATAATAATTTATTCGTTGACTTATTATCAAAACGGTGTTTGTGTTTATTGAGGGGAAAACATATAAGTTTGCGTTTCGTTTGATATTTCATTTCTTTAGTTTCAAAAACTTAATTTATATAATAATATACAGCAATAGATAAATGAATGTCTCTGTTATTAACACTTCCTTCTCGTTTGGGTGTTTGTGTGTAAGTATTGAGCAAATAATTGAATTCAATTGTAATGTGTTTTATGTGTGTTATTATTATCTACTAATTTCATTGCGGAATCACTTTTGGAAAGCAATCGTTTAAATTAAACTTTTCTAAATTGACGGCTGATATCGACATCTTTAGGAACATTGGACTCTCTTTTGTATATGCCTTCCACTGGTCATCACTTTCTGTTATATCCCTGTATTTCATACAAAAAACAAAACAAAATTATTAATAAACCAAAACGTTTGCCAGAAATTAAAATTATTAATAAATTATTGCATTTTGAAAATTATATGTTTTGCGCACAAAACAAAAAACACATAAAAATTATTTTTAATTATTTAATTAGTTTCTAATCTTAATATTTAATAATAAACGAATGCAAACAAATGCCAATTTATTTAATAGACAGATATGTTGTATATATACAGGTATTTTGTGGGCACCGATAAGTAGGCCGTCGCTGAACTCTAATTACATTAGTTCTGGTATTTTAGATACGAAACCGATTGGCAGTAAGAAAACATTGAAAATGGTTAAAATGCCTTTTAAAACAAACAATTAGAGCCCCGGGTCTCATAAAATGCACAGTTAATTGGAGCGACAGCTCTCATAATTTATTCATAAAAATAACAATAATTACAAAAATATACACTAATCTTAATAAATCATTTATCCGTCCCAAGAGTTGATCGATAATATAGTTTGTTGTTTAGAATAATTGGTGAGAAAATCATTTTCGTAATGTATTTAATTTTTGTTGAAAACTTAACTTATATTTTAGCAGTTCTGTCAAAAAATGGTGATAATGTTTTTGCGGGCAATTTATTTGCATTTATTTTAACGATAATTCTATTGCTTTTTATGTAACTTATAATGAGATAAAAGGTTTGTTTGATTTGAAAAGTTAAACGATTATAACTTAATTTATATGCAAAACAAATTAGATTTAAACAAAAATGATCATTTAAAAAACTCACCCATTTGTGGCAAATTGGGCCCAATTTTTCATCACTCTTCGACTGAATTTGATTTCGTCGGTGTCGTAGAGGTTCTTGTGTTTGAGTGGATAACCCATTGCGAAGACAACCTCGTCGTGATGTGAGGAGAACTCCATTAACTCGTAGATATATACGGATCGGTTCGACTCAACCATAGTATTGGCAAACTTTAGGAGCGGACACAACATTCGTGTCGTATTCTCGTCCGACTGTCTCTTCCTTCGTCGCCGTCTCTTCTCTTCCGTTTCGTCGTTTGATTCGTCGTCTCCTCCTTCGGCCTCAGTCTCTGTCTCCGACTCTTCCTCTTTCTCCTCTTTTTCCGTTTCGTCGGATTCCTCTTCTTTTTCCGTTGTCTCCTCTTTTTCGGTCTCTTCAGTAGTGGTAGAAGTCATCGGTTCGGGTGTTGTTGTGGTTGTCGTCGTTGTTGTAGTAGTGGTAGTGGTTGTCGTCGTAGAACTGGTTGTAGTCATAGTATCGGCCGATTCTGTCGCTGTAGTCGGCGTTGCCTTTGGTGTTGTTGTTGTTTCAGACGGAGTCGTTGTCTCTGATGAAGAGGTTGTCGTAGTTTTTGGTTCAGCTGTCGTTGTCTTTAAGATGCCGGACGTAATCGCTGTCAGCAATGGTCTCATTGTCGGTCTCTCTACTGGTGGCGAATCGCCCTTCTCTTCGCGTCCCTCTCTGTCAGAATCGTCTTTGTCTTCACTCTCTGCCTCTTCTTTCTCTTCAGATGTCTCGTCATCTCCTCCTTCCTCTCCTTCGGACTCATTCTCTGAGTTCTTAAGAGTCGCCAAAAACAACGAGTCGTCCTCTGAATTGACGCCAAACATGAAATCTATTTGGAAATCAAACGCATCTTTCGCTTCCGACGGATAAGTGGAGGCAAAATCGCTGGGAATTCGTGGCCCGAAAGCCACAGAATTGTCTTCGAGTATCTCCTGTTGTACTTCGAGAAGTCTGTCGACGTTTATTGGTTTCAGACATTCCTTGATTTCGACGCCTTCTTCGCAACCGATTTCGTCGATAAACTTTTTCGAGTATTTAGTGGTTTGAGAGTAAAGTTCTTTATGGAAGAGAAGACCGAATCCCTGGAGAATAGTTCTCTGGAAGAAGAATTTACTGTCGGATGTCATCATATGAAGACCTGCGGACACCGCGCCTGTAGTCATAGACAATAATAACAATACATTAACCGAAATAAGCCCAAAACGGGTGCACATGTCATGACATACCGGCCCCGTGACCGACAACTGTGATGAGGTCCTGATCGCCACCAAATTTATTAACATTACTGTGAATCCACTTCAGAGCCTCTCTTTGGTCGTATAAACCCATATTTCCTTTCGGTTCCTTTGACTCAAAGCTCATAAAACCAAAAATACCCAAACGATACTGAATAGTGACCACAACCACATCCTGTTGTGCGGCCATTGCCAGGGCGTCCAACTCCTCGGTGGCGACCCCTCCGTAGGAGAAAGCGCCGCCGTGTATATACACGATGACCGGTAGAAACGTGTCCTCCTGTAGAGGAGCCCATATATTCAGATACAGACAGTCCTCACTTGAGGTGGCGTTCAGGAAACGAAAGGCCGATAAGACGAGCGGCGAATCCGACTGAAGGATCACATGAATAGGGATTAGAAATGGAAAATACAATTCACTTTTGAAAACAATAATTACAATCGAAATGTTTAGTACAATAATATTATAGGTCTTTTGGAAGTAGCAATCAATCAAAGATCAACGTTAAAAAACATTTTGTACATAGACAATATAGACATAATGACCTTGGTCATTACAACAACTTATTAAAGTTAGCTTTAAACATTTTTCATTAATTGTATGCTTAATATCTCCACTAAAAATAATGATTCAATTATTTTATTGGATTTTCCTTGAATACGGTAATTGAATTTACATTTGCCGACAAAGACATTTTCACTAATGTTCTCTCTCTCTCTCTCTCTCTCTCTCTACTCTTGTGTAATATTAATAATTCATTTAA